CTTCTTCTCAACAAGCTAGGTATTCTTGACATCCACATTCCATCTTGAGTGGACGTGTGGAGAATGAGGCAATTCACAACTGACAGTGTTGTTTCCTTAGCTTAGCTACTTGGCTGCCACAATTGTTAAAATTAGTTACAAGCTGTGTTTAATTAGTTAGTTTGTCAGCAGTTAGTTCGTTAAGAGAAGTGAGGCGGTGCACATGTAAACCTTCAGTATATTTACACTATGATGTAACCAAAGTAGTTAGTTAATGAAAACATAATTTTCATTGTCTTTCTCTCCCTCTCCCCCTCCCCCTCCCCCTCCCTCTCCCTCTCTCTCTCCCCCTCTAGTTCATCTTTTTCATTTCCTCTTTTCTTCAATTTTAACAGTGCATTACCTAAAAGGTTTTCACACTTCATACAAAGCACTGGCATCAGGAGGTGGTTTCATCATAGGTTCAATGTGTTGTATTTTGAAACAAGGCCTTTGTGAGGCCTCTGTGAGGCTGTTTAAATTTTCAATTATATTGTAATTTCATTATATTCAAAAGCTCAATATATGGACCCGCTCTGGAACAAATTACTCTTAACCTTTGTAATCTCAATCGTCTCTTAATTTATCAACTGGACTCTACGTCGTTTTGTTTCACTCGGAGAGAAGTTGCATTACAAAGGGTTTGCATGGTTATTTGAGATTCCATTTTCATGCTTTGCATTTTTCTACAAATTGTGAAGCATTCCATGGATGTTTTTGATTTTAACCAACTCGCAAAACGGGTATGTTTCACGTGCATGGGGTCTTCATTTCTGGGATTTTGTATCCAAACATTTCAAGATATGAATGCTATGAGCCTAGTAAAGATTATGAATGTTATTTGGTGCTCAATGGATGGAAAAAGGAGTGGTAAGTTCTCATTGGGTTATTCCAATTTGGACAAGGTACAAGAAATCCTTCTACAATTTTGCTATATCTTGACTAACAACACTCATAGTTTTATCTGCTTTTTTCATCGTACTTTCAAACATCTCAATTTATTGTGGTTTTTATAAAAATGTGATTTTACCCGCTCTTTTCAACGTAAATGTGTTTTGAGAAAATTCTTTTGAAAGTATTCAATATTTAACATAAAAAAATATCATGCTTTTATGGAAACTATGGTAAATTGAGAAGTAAATTTGAAATTACTTTGGAGAGACAATTCATTTTAAAAATTACTTAATGTCGATTCAAAGGCCATGGCCATCTAGTGTCACAACATGTACTGCCATTGTTACTTTAGAAATTCTTTGTTGTCCTTATTTCTTCTTTGTTTTGTTTAGTGAGGTGCAGTGATTTCAAAACACTAATTCCTTTTTTCCATCTGTGGCTTGTAGGCGACTCCACTTTCATGCAATTTCCTGGAGGATAAAGCAACATGTTGGAAGGCTACAACATGACATAACCTTTCAAATTAGAATCCACTGTTAAATGAGACAATAATCTATTGTTAAATGGGTCTTTGGTCTAATGATACTCTTTATCTTGTGAAGATTTTACCTTCATAAGGTCAAGAGTTCAAGCCTCTCTCCCCCCTCCACCAAAAATATAAAAAAAATGGGACAATAATATAGTTGATTGAGTCTGTAAAATTGCATCATTAAAATGGGTCCAAGTTGCATGAACGGATCCAAGCTAGTTTGGAACGGCACAGCTATAGGTATTATACATACTCTTTCAGAAGAAATAACATTAAGTGTAACATATTAAACTCAGGTGAAAATAATATATCCTTACACGATGTAATAAAATATTTCAGAACATATTGAGAATAATATTCTGATTAGGGAAGAAAAAACTCTTCATGTACAGCTGATTTCTTGCATGATCTATGTATTAAACTCTTATTTTCACAAAAAGTTCTGACATTGAACATGTACTATAGTGACCCGGTATTTATACTTGAGACCTCTTATCAATTAAGCCATCAAAAGCNTGCAAGACTCTAGATTTCTTGGAGCAAGAACAACAAAATCACCAATGGGACATCATCTGAAACTCGATAAACATACTGGTGCAATAGTTATAGATGTTTTCATTTATAGACAACTGATTGGGAGGCTATGTTACCTCACTCTCACTCAGACTGATTTAGCCTATGTAGTTCAAGCTCTAAGTCAATATTTGGAATCTCCCAAATAGTCTCGTCTTGATGTAGCTCATATAATCTTATTCTACCTCAAAACAACTCCAACACAAGGACTTTTGTTTTCTATTACATCTCAAAGCCTTACGTGATGCTGACGAGGCTGGATGCCCTAATATAGAAACTCTATCACAGGATTTTGTGTCTTTCTAGGCAATTCTCTCATTTCGTGAAATTTCAAGAAGCAAACCATAGTTTCTCGCCCCTCTACTGAAGTAGGATATAGGGCGATAGCCTCCACTGGTTGTGAATTGACCAAGTTACTTGCCCTCTTTACTGATCTTTATATCCCTTATACTCAGTCAGCCCTACTTTTCTCTGACAACCAAGCTACCTTATATATTGTATTCAATCCAATGTTTCATGTAAGAACTAACCATATTGAACTCGATTATCACTTCATTCATAAAAAATACAACAAACACTCTCAAGACACTTCATGTCACCTCTTCTAAGCAATTAGGGAATATTTTCACCAAACTACTTGGTCTTGCTTAGTTCGACCTTCTTCTCAACAAGCTAGGTATTCTTGACATCCACATTCCATCTTGAGTGGACGTGTGGAGAATGAGGCAATTCACAACTGACAGTGTTGTTTCCTTAGCTTAGCTACTTGGCTGCCACAATTGTTAAAATTAGTTACAAGCTGTGTTTAATTAGTTAGTTTGTCAGCAGTTAGTTCGTTAAGAGAAGTGAGGCGGTGCACATGTAAACCTTCAGTATATTTACACTATGATGTAACCAAAGTAGTTAGTTAATGAAAACATAATTTTCATTGTCTTTCTCTCCCTCTCCCCCTCCCCCTCCCCCTCCCTCTCCCTCTCTCTCTCCCCCTCTAGTTCATCTTTTTCATTTCCTCTTTTCTTCAATTTTAACAGTGCATTACCTAAAAGGTTTTCACACTTCATACAAAGCACTGGCATCAGGAGGTGGTTTCATCATAGGTTCAATGTGTTGTATTTTGAAACAAGGCCTTTGTGAGGCCTCTGTGAGGCTGTTTAAATTTTCAATTATATTGTAATTTCATTATATTCAAAAGCTCAATATATGGACCCGCTCTGGAACAAATTACTCTTAACCTTTGTAATCTCAATCGTCTCTTAATTTATCAACTGGACTCTACGTCGTTTTGTTTCACTCGGAGAGAAGTTGCATTACAAAGGGTTTGCATGGTTATTTGAGATTCCATTTTCATGCTTTGCATTTTTCTACAAATTGTGAAGCATTCCATGGATGTTTTTGATTTTAACCAACTCGCAAAACGGGTATGTTTCACGTGCATGGGGTCTTCATTTCTGGGATTTTGTATCCAAACATTTCAAGATATGAATGCTATGAGCCTAGTAAAGATTATGAATGTTATTTGGTGCTCAATGGATGGAAAAAGGAGTGGTAAGTTCTCATTGGGTTATTCCAATTTGGACAAGGTACAAGAAATCCTTCTACAATTTTGCTATATCTTGACTAACAACACTCATAGTTTTATCTGCTTTTTTCATCGTACTTTCAAACATCTCAATTTATTGTGGTTTTTATAAAAATGTGATTTTACCCGCTCTTTTCAACGTAAATGTGTTTTGAGAAAATTCTTTTGAAAGTATTCAATATTTAACATAAAAAAATATCATGCTTTTATGGAAACTATGGTAAATTGAGAAGTAAATTTGAAATTACTTTGGAGAGACAATTCATTTTAAAAATTACTTAATGTCGATTCAAAGGCCATGGCCATCTAGTGTCACAACATGTACTGCCATTGTTACTTTAGAAATTCTTTGTTGTCCTTATTTCTTCTTTGTTTTGTTTAGTGAGGTGCAGTGATTTCAAAACACTAATTCCTTTTTTCCATCTGTGGCTTGTAGGCGACTCCACTTTCATGCAATTTCCTGGAGGATAAAGCAACATGTTGGAAGGCTACAACATGACATAACCTTTCAAATTAGAATCCACTGTTAAATGAGACAATAATCTATTGTTAAATGGGTCTTTGGTCTAATGATACTCTTTATCTTGTGAAGATTTTACCTTCATAAGGTCAAGAGTTCAAGCCTCTCTCCCCCCTCCACCAAAAATATAAAAAAAATGGGACAATAATATAGTTGATTGAGTCTGTAAAATTGCATCATTAAAATGGGTCCAAGTTGCATGAACGGATCCAAGCTAGTTTGGAACGGCACAGCTATAGATATTATACATACTCTTTCAGAAGAAATAACATTAAGTGTAACATATTAAACTCAGGTGAAAATAATATATCCCTACATGATGTAATTAAATATTTCAGAACATATTGAGAATAATATTCTGATTAGGGAAGAAAAAATTCTTCATGTACAGCTGATTTCTTGCATGATCTATGTATTAAACTCTTATTTTCACAAAAAGTTCTGACATTGAACATGTACTATAGTGACCCGGTATTTATACTTGAGACCTCTTATCAATTAAGCCATCAAAAGCATGGATTAGCCCCAGGAAAATCATGCATTCTGTTTTCTAATATGAATGATTTTAATTTCTGATCACGTATTATGATTACTCCAATTATGAAAAACTAAACAGAGATAGAGAGACATAAAGAAATAGAAATTTTTTCTAATAATCAAAATTCACATGAACGGAATTTGTGGTGCATTTGTCGAACCTGTTATCAAAATCTCATCATCTACAGTAAAACAGGGAAAAAGATTGAAGTTACTTCAAATAATATCATTTATACTATATGAACCTACAAAACCTCTATTTTTGCGTAAATCGAAACCCCAAATACTAATATCTTAGAGTAATATCTTCGAGGACAAGGAGAAAATCAAAAAAAAAAAAATTCCTCATCTTATTGGGTTTTGGAGCCAGTAGTAGATGCAATATTACTGCTTTTGCTAGTGCTTGCACCATCACAAGATCGGTTGCATTCGTCACTCGAACATTCTTCTCGGTTGTTAACAAGAATAAACCACCGCCTTGAATTAACTTGAAATGACCTAACCTGCACAACCATTCCTGCTTCCAGTCCATTACTCTCCCTAAACATGTTCCAAGATTGGGTCAAAACGTACATTGCATTATTTGTGCCACTATGCTCCTTCTTCATGTCCCACTTCCTCAGTTTTATTTCTCTTTCTTCAAGTGACCGTCCAATCGAGCTTGCTGATATTTCACCACACTTCTTTCCATTGCGCAGGTCCAATGCTCTCTTCTCATCCTCTTCTACATGAAAACCCTCTTCAATTTTATTTATCGGTATCGATAGCCGATTATGCTGATTACTAACTTCTGTGTCGAACAAGGATTTTTGTATCACTAACACTGGCTCAGAACTCCCCAAGGCACTGATTAAATTCTTGAACNTCGTTAAGAGAAGTGAGGCGGTGCACATGTAAACCTTCAGTATATTTACACTATGATGTAACCAAAGTAGTTAGTTAATGAAAACATAATTTTCATTGTCTTTCTCTCCCTCTCCCCCTCCCCCTCCCCCTCCCTCTCCCTCTCTCTCTCCCCCTCTAGTTCATCTTTTTCATTTCCTCTTTTCTTCAATTTTAACAGTGCATTACCTAAAAGGTTTTCACACTTCATACAAAGCACTGGCATCAGGAGGTGGTTTCATCATAGGTTCAATGTGTTGTATTTTGAAACAAGGCCTTTGTGAGGCCTCTGTGAGGCTGTTTAAATTTTCAATTATATTGTAATTTCATTATATTCAAAAGCTCAATATATGGACCCGCTCTGGAACAAATTACTCTTAACCTTTGTAATCTCAATCGTCTCTTAATTTATCAACTGGACTCTACGTCGTTTTGTTTCACTCGGAGAGAAGTTGTATTACAAAACGTTTGCATGGTTATTTGAGATTCCATTTTCATGCTTTGCATTTTTCTACAAATTGTGAAGCATTCCATGGATGTTTTTGATTTTAACCAACTCGCAAAACGGGTATGTTTCACGTGCATGGGGTCTTCATTTCTGGGATTTTGTATCCAAACATTTCAAGATATGAATGCTATAAGCCTAGTAAAGATTATGAATGTTATTTGGTGCTCAATGGATGGAAAAAGGAGTGGTAAGTTCTCATTGGGTTATTCCAATTTGGACAAGGTACAAGAAATCCTTCTACAATTTTGCTATATCTTGACTAACAACACTCATAGTTTTATCTGCTTTTTTCATCGTACTTTCAAACATCTCAATTTATTGTGGTTTTTATAAAAATGTGATTTTACCCGCTCTTTTCAACGTAAATGTGTTTTGAGAAAATTCTTTTGAAAGTATTCAATATTTAACATCAAAAAATATCATGCTTTTATGGAAACTATGGTAAATTGAGAAGTAAATTTGAAATTACTTTGGAGAGACAATTCATTTTAAAAATTACTTAATGTCGATTCAAAGGCCATGGCCATCTAGTGTCACAACATGTACTGCCATTGTTACTTTAGAAATTCTTTGTTGTCCTTATTTCTTCTTTGTTTTGTTTAGTGAGGTGCAGTGATTTCAAAACACTAATTCCTTTTTTCCATCTGTGGCTTGTAGGCGACTCCACTTTCATGCAATTTCCTGGAGGATACACTGACATTTTAAAGCAACATGTTGGAAGGCTACAACATGACATAACCTTTCAAATTAGAATCCACTGTTAAATGAGACAATAATCTATTGTTAAATGGGTCTTTGGTCTAATGATACTCTTTATCTTGTGAAGATTTTACCTTCATAAGGTCAAGAGTTCAAGCCTCTCTCCCCCCTCCACCAAAAATATAAAAAAAATGGGACAATAATATAGTTGATTGAGTCTGTAAAATTGTATCATTAAAATGGGTCCAAGTTGCATGAACGGATCCAAGCTAGTTTGGAACGGCACAGCTATAGGTATTATACATACTCTTTCAGAAGAAATAACATTAAGTGTAACATATTAAACTCAGGTGAAAATAATATATCCTTACACGATGTAATAAAATATTTCAGAACATATTGAGAATAATATTCTGATTAGGGAAGAAAAAACTCTTCATGTACAGCTGATTTCTTGCATGATCTATGTATTAAACTCTTATTTTCACAAAAAGTTCTGACATTGAACATGTACTATAGTGACCCGGTATTTATACTTGAGACCTCTTATCAATTAAGCCATCAAAAGCATGGATTAGCCCCAGGAAAATCATGCATTCTGTTTTCTAATATGAATGATTTTAATTTCTGATCACGTATTATGATTACTCCAATTATGAAAAACTAAACAGAGATAGAGAGACATAAAGAAATAGAAATTTTTTCTAATAATCAAAATTCACATGAACGGAATTTGTGGTGCATTTGTCGAACCTGTTATCAAAATCTCATCATCTACAGTAAAACAGGGAAAAAGATTGAAGTTACTTCAAATAATATCATTTATACTATATGAACCTACAAAACCTCTATTTTTGCGTAAATCGAAACCCCAAATACTAATATCTTAGAGTAATATCTTCGAGGACAAGGAGAAAATCAAAAAAAAAAAAATTCCTCATCTTATTGGGTTTTGGAGCCAGTAGTAGATGCAATATTACTGCTTTTGCTAGTGCTTGCACCATCACAAGATCGGTTGCATTCGTCACTCGAACATTCTTCTCGGTTGTTAACAAGAATAAACCACCGCCTTGAATTAACTTGAAATGACCTAACCTGCACAACCATTCCTGCTTCCAGTCCATTACTCTCCCTAAACATGTTCCAAGATTGGGTCAAAACGTACATTGCATTATTTGTGCCACTATGCTCCTTCTTCATGTCCCACTTCCTCAGTTTTATTTCTCTTTCTTCAAGTGACCGTCCAATCGAGCTTGCTGATATTTCACCACACTTCTTTCCATTGCGCAGGTCCAATGCTCTCTTCTCATCCTCTTCTAGATGAAAACCCTCTTCAATTTTATTTATCGGTATCGATAGCCGATTATGCTGATTACTAACTTCTGTGTCGAACAAGGATTTTTGTATCACTAACACTGGCTCAGAACTCCCCAAGGCACTGATTAAATTCTTGAACTCTACGGGTAGATCAGGTTTTGGGTTTGGATCAGTTTGTGGCATGTTCTTCCTCGGTTTCTTTGGCTTTACAATCTTTGTTGCAGAACTTTCACCTTCAAAAAACTTCCACTTTGAAGCTGTCTTCTCAAAATTTGTGGTGCAATCCATTGCAATAGGCTTCATGAACCCCTCTACTCTCTTTGACTTTACAACTTTTGTTCCAAAACTTTCACCTTCAAAAAACTTCGTCTTCCCAGACTCTTCGGGGCAATCCACAGAAGTAGGCCCCTCTACTCTCTTGGTCCTTGGTTTCCTTGGTATATTGTGATACCAAACCTTATCTTCTTTGCATACTTCAAGAGAATTCGAGATTTGCTTACCTTTCTCCACAGAATTCTGTGATTTCAGCAACACTACTTTTTTCCCGAACAACACAATAGAATCATCAATGGGTTGATGTACAATACTCTCATTCGTCGATTGTTGCTCGGTATTCATCGTAAGATTGTCCATCACAGCCTCCTTGAGAGTTTCTTCGTCCTTCAGCCCTTGAGAATCAATGGTGGGTTTATCCACAGAAGCCTCAATATCCGTCAACCCTTGTGCTTTGTTCATGCAAAGATTGCCCATGATCACAACCTCCTGGAGATTTTCTTCGTTCTTTTTCTCGATAACTCATAATACTCATTACTCAGAGTAAGATTGGTCATCACAGCCTCCTTGAGAGTTTCTTCGTCCATCAACCCTTTTTCTGTATCATGTCCCTCAATCACAACGTCTAAAATAGAAATAAAATCCCTAGTAATAGGGATTTCCTTCGTCTTCAGACCGGTCAGAAGTTCAAAAACAAAATCTCTCAAGATCTTCGTTGCAAGTTGCAACTACAGAAATCAGATATGGTTTCTTGATAAAAGTGAGAGGGGTTTAGGGTTTCTTAGGAAAATTGAGAGGAATTAAGGTTTTCTTAAGAAAAGTGAGAGAGGATTAGGGTTGTTTTGGAGTAGTAATGTGAAACTTATGAGGACAGTGATGAAACCTGGAGAGGACCTGCTACTTATACATAAGCTTAAGTCCTAGCGGCCATAGAACTCTCTAGAACTACTCTGTTTGATGTTTATGGTTTCCTAAACAGGCAGAACAATCCTTGTGAAATTTGATAAACTTGATGATCAAGTTATAATTAGTTGGTTTTGGATTTCCCGTAAACTCACTTGTATAGTTGAGCTACAAGTGTGCATTAACGGGCAAGATTTAATTTGCCATGAGAGTCCAATGGCAATGATGAGACAGGCAAGTAAGATATGCTTGAATTGCAAAATGAGATCCCGCGTCCAATAAGATAAACCCTTATTTTATTTTCAATCTATATTTAAATTCGTTAAAAACCAAAATACAATTTAATCCAAACAATTCAATTAGAGTTATATTTTAGCAAAATATAGCGTAATATTTACTCAGTATAATCAAAAAATCATTTATATCAACATATATTTAAATAGGGTAAGATATTTGAATAGCAGTGGCCAAAGAACTCTGTATTTGCATAGAACTACTTTTCACAAAGTAGGAAAGAGAATGAGGAAATGGCGAGGAATCTGATACATTTTATGTAAATCTAACGGAACTCTGTTTGATGTTTTTGGTTTTCTAAACATGCACAACAATTAGCAGTGTCCATAGGTCGTGTTAGGTTAAACCTATAAAAAATTTTCGGGTCAAATTTTGGTAGTGTAAATCTAAGTGTTTATTTAAGTGAGTTGTTGAACTGATCGGGCCGGACTTCAGGTAGGAGTAGTCTACCCGCAGCCCAACCAGTGTTTAGGGTGTGGGCAAGCTTGCTTGTGAATTTTTTTGTACACAACTTTATTTAAAAATAATAAATATTATTGTAACTTAATATTTGTATAAATTATATTTTTGAATCAAATGTAGAGTCAAAATGAATAAAAATAAATAATGAATAATTTTATTTGTNGGGTAGTCTACCCGCAGCCCAACCCGTGTTTAGGGTGTGGGCAAGCTTGCTTGTGAATTTTTTTGTACACAATTTTATTTAAAAATAATAAATATTATTGTAACTTAATATTTGTATAAATTATATTTTNTATGAGGACAGTGATGAAACCTGGAGAGGACCTGCTACTTATACATAAGCTTAAGTCCTAGCGGCCATAGAACTCTCTAGAACTACTCTGTTTGATGTTTATGGTTTCCTAAACAGGCAGAACAATCCTTGTGAAATTTGATAAACTTGATGATCAAGTTATAATTAGTTGGTTTTGGATTTCCCGTAAACTCACTTGTATAGTTGAGCTACAAGTGTGCATTAACGGGCAAGATTTAATTGCCATGAGAATCCAATGGCAATGATGAGACAGGCGAGTAAGATATGCTTGAATTGCAAAATGAGATGCCGCGTACNTTGCCATGAGAGTCCAATGGCAATGATGAGACAGGCAAGTAAGATATGCTTGAATTGCAAAATGAGATGCCGCGTCCAATAAGATAAACCCTTATTTTATTTTCAATCTATATTTAAATTCGTTAAAAACCAAAATACAATTTAATCCAAACAATTCAATTAGAGTTANACTATCGGATTTATCTGGTCTTTTGGGCCTATTTTTTTTGGACGGGATAACAGGACCCGTAAGTATTCTGGCTCATGAACACCACTAAGAACAATCCTTATCAACTTAATTATTCATAATTTTCTATCTACTTTTCAAATAGTATGATCATAGACAAAGAAAAAAGATTGGGGAAGGATGACTAAAAGGTTGGGGAATGTGTGTTAATTTTATGCATCGCAGGAGGCCGTTGATAGTGTTTTTTTATATAAATCAATTTCTATAAACGTTAGTTTTGGAAACATAGAGCTTAAAAATGTTACCTACAACATCAATTAGTATGTTTTTATTGAGTCGTGTCATTTTGGATTTGTGGCATATATTGTTCAACTAAAATCTAACTCATTTAATCTATCATGTTAGATGTTTTGAAACTAATCTGATCTACTTATTAGAACGTCGTATTTGTTTTGGCTTGTAAAATTTGTGATCTAGGAACTTAAAACCAAGATTCCCTTCAGTCGCAAAGGAACCCACCACCCATAGGTTTCCATAAACAAAAAATGTACTCAATTCATATGCTAGTAAAATAGAGTAAAAAGACCATGAATTTTACAATGATTATACGATACCTATAAAGAAATTTAAAAAAAAATATTTCTACAAATAATACAGGTCAAGTTTATTATGTCAAAACCAAAATTTGACACTCACCAGTTTTTTTTTTTTTTGATAAGCACTTGATCGCTCTCTTGTCCTCTTTCTTTTTCTTATAAAGTTTCTCGTTTTCATACTTTAAGCATAATATACGATTATGCTATAACATAATATACTATCACTTTAGCGTAACAATACTATGTCCTAGTCTATTGCTCATTCTATGTCGTGGAACATAGAAAAGATTCCCAATTGGAAGCGGGCGCCATCGTTTGAACATATTTTCGTGGTTGAATAATAACAAAAAAATTATCATTCTTAATTAATATTGTTGGTTAAAACTATAAATGAGAGTAGCAAGCCCAATTGGTACACTATCCAAGCTTAGATAAAATAATGAGAAATTTAGANCCGGGTAATGGGTTTGGGGGCAAATTTAAGCCCTCTTTTTAAGGGTATTAGGTTCGGATTCAGGCGAGCCAACTATCGGATTTATCTGGTCTTTTGGGCCTATTTTTTTTGGACGGGATAACAGGACCCGTAAGTACTCTGGCTCATGAACACCACTAAGAACAATCCTTATCAACTTAATTATTCATAATTTTCTATCTACTTTTCAAATAGTATGATCATAGACAAAGAAAAAAGATTGGGGAAGGATGACTAAAAGGTTGGGGAATGTGTGTTAATTTTATGCATCGCAGGAGGCCGTTGATAGTGTTTTTTTATATAAATCAATTTCTATAAACGTTAGTTTTGGAAACATAGAGCTTAAAAATGTTACCTACAACATCAATTAGTATGTTTTTATTGAGTCGTGTCATTTTGGATTTGTGGCATATATTGTTCAACTAAAATCTAACTCATTTAATCTATCATGTTAGATGTTTTGAAACTAATCTGATCTACTTATTAGAACGTCGTATTTGTTTTGGCTTGTAAAATTTGTGATCTAGGAACTTAAAACCAAGATTCCCTTCAGTCGCAAAGGAACCCACCACCCATAGGTTTCCATAAACAAAAAATGTACTCAATTCATATGCTAGTAAAATAGAGTAAAAAGACCATGAATTTTACAATGATTATACGATACCTATAAAGAAATTTAAAAAAAAATATTTCTACAAATAATACAGGTCAAGTTTATTATGTCAAAACCAAAATTTGACACTCACCTGTTTTTTTTTTTTTTTTGATAAGCACTTGATCGCTCTCTTGTCCTCTTTCTTTTTCTTATAAAGTTTCTCGTTTTCATACTTTAAGCATAATATACGATTATGCTATAACATAATATACTATCACTTTAGCGTAACAATACTATGTCCTAGTNTCATCGACAAAGAAAAAAGATTGGGGAAGGATGACTAAAAGGTTGGGGAATGTGTGTTAATTTTATGCATCGCAGGAGGCCGTTGATAGTGTTTTTTTATATAAATCAATTTCTATAAACGTTAGTTTTGGAAACATAGAGCTTAAAAATGTTACCTACAACATCAATTAGTATGTTTTTATTGAGTCGTGTCATTTTGGATTTGTGGCATATATTGTTCAACTAAAATCTAACTCATTTAATCTATCATGTTAGATGTTTTGAAACTAATCTGATCTACTTATTAGAACGTCGTATTTGTTTTGGCTTGTAAAATTTGTGATCTAGGAACTTAAAACCAAGATTCCCTTCAGTCGCAAAGGAACCCACCACCCATAGGTTTCCATAAACAAAAAATGTACTCAATTCATATGCTAGTAAAATAGAGTAAAAAGACCATGAATTTTACAATGATTATACGATACCTATAAAGAAATTTAAAAAAAAATATTTCTACAAATAATACAGGTCAAGTTTATTATGTCAAAACCAAAATTTGACACTCACCTGTTTTTTTTTTTTTTTTGATAAGCACTTGATCGCTCTCTTGTCCTCTTTCTTTTTCTTATAAAGTTTCTCGTTTTCATACTTTAAGCATAATATACGATTATGCTATAACATAATATACTATCACTTTAGCGTAACAATACTATGTCCTAGTCTATTGCTCATTCTATGTCGTGGAACATAGAAAAGATTCCCAATTGGAAGCGGGCGCCATCGTTTGAACATATTTTCGTGGTTGAATAATAACAAAAAAATTATCATTCTTAATTAATATTGTTGGTTAAAACTATAAATGAGAGTAGCAAGCCCAATTGGTACACTATCCAAGCTTAGATAAAATAATGAGAAATTTAGAGGTTGGTCCATATTTTATGATTTATAGGGCTTGAAGTCCATTCTAAAAATTATATTGGATTTAAGGACATTTGTGCAATTGTCCAAAATACCTAAAATTCCTTCTTTGCCTCACAGAAGAAATCGAATAAAAGTATATTTTACTGAAACTTGACCTAACATCACTACAAGAAATTGGTCTTTTAGCCGCGAAAACTATTGCGGTTAAATGCATTAAAATTGTCACTATATACTTTAGTGACAATGTTTTTATTGCCACTAGTATGTGGCAATATGTGTATGACTAAATCATTTAACTATGACATTTAATTGTTGCCACTAAAAGTAAATTTTTTAGTCGCAGTATGAAAATTGTCATTAAATGTGAAATCTTTAGCCACAATAATTGTTGTGGCAAGTTAACATAATTTTGCCACTAAAATGTCCCATGTCACCACTAGAAGTCTAATTAAAACATCGCTTTTTGTAACAACAATTAATTGCGACTAAAAGTATAAATTTTACCCACAATTAGAATCACCACTAAAATTTGAAACATGTTTTTAGTGACAACTTATTGTCGCGGCTAATACATTAAAATGAACAGAAAAAATACCTATCACATATTTGAATGAATTTATTTTTAAATATTTTCTAATTTCANCCCACAATTAGAATCACCACTAAAATTTGAAACATGTTTTTAGTGACAACTTATTGTCGCGGCTAATACATTAAAATGAACAAAAAAAATACCTATCACATATTTGAATGAATTTATTTTTAAATATTTTCTAATTTCACATACCTATTATAGTTTAATGAATCAATATATATACCTTTTTTTTAAAACAAAAACTAATTTTATTNTCTGTGGATACCGTGCAACTCGATACCACGCCGTATGTCTCATTTATTGGGATCGATAACTTCATAAAATTTGGACAAAGTCTCGTTTGTATGGGAAGCTCTACCCAAAACACAACTTGTGCAATCATACAACATTGACCACACCAGATCCATTTATCCATACTCATATAACAACATGCAATTTTACATTAAAAATAAACCATATTAATTTAATTACAATCCTTTACATATGTTACATGCCCAAAAACTAATTGACATCTTAGTTTTACAAAAGCATAGTTTAAAAGCCACATTTTGACTTTTCTTCATTAATGAAGGCCCGAATGAGAGCCGTCCATTGACGCTTGTCCCACACCTGAAATATTATCCCTGTAAAGGGTGAGCCACGCTCAATAGAGTATCTCTTAAAAAAAATTATTCCCCAACTTAGATGCATATGAAATGCTCACATGCAATTCACAAGCAACAATCACTCCATTCAAGAATATGTAATTCAACAATGGAATCCTCAATATCATGTCATGATGTAANTGCAATGTTCAATGGATGCAATGGTTTAAACTCATGCCCTAGGTTAATCGAGAACCTAAGCTCTGATACCAAGCTATGACGCCCCTAAAATCGGGGATCCTTTGTCAATCCGTTGATCACCGATCAACCTACGAAATATATGTGGATACCGTGCAACTCGATACCACGCCGTATGTCTCATTTATTGGGATCGATAACTTCATAAAATTTGGACAGAGTCTCGTTTGTATGGGAAGCTCTACCCAAAACACAACTTGTGCAATCATACAACATTGACCACACCAGATCCATTTATCCATACTCATATAACAACATGTAATTTTACATTAAAAATAAACCATATTAATTTAATTACAATCCTTTACATGTGTTACATGCCCAAAAACTAATTGACATCTTAGTTTTACAAAAGCATAGTTTAAAAGCCACATTTTGACTTTTCTTCATTAATGAAGGCCCGAATGAGAGCCGTCCATTGACGCTTGTCCCACACCTGAAATATTATCCCTGTAAAGGGTGAGCCACGCTCAATAGAGTATCTCTTAAAAAAAATTATTCCCCAACTTAGATGCATATGAAATGCTCACATGCA